TATGATTTACTTGTTTGTGTTCAAACTCGGTAAATGGGTCATCATGAGCGTTAAGGAACGATCCTGATTTTTTCATTTAGAGGAAGTCGGAGGAGGAAGGGAAGAAGGCAAAATCGCGATTGACTCATTTGTCATAGATAATTTCTCAAAAGAATATCTTGTGCAAGTGCATTGTTGCATTGATTATCGCCTATGATAATACCATATTTTAGGGTATTTCATCTATTCTGAATATCCCCAAAGAAGTAAGGGAATACGTAATCCTTTTCTCTCGGGTGTTATTTCTGTTTCATGTCATTATTGATTTTTTGGAAGAGGTTCCAGTGTACAGAATTCAACTTATTAGTTTCCGAATGGGATATAAATGGAAGTCAGGAGGCCTACGCAAAAGCAAAATCAAATTTAAGCCGTTTTCAGTACTGTTGAAGCAACAGACATGATTAACGTGATTATCGCGAACTTATCTCACCTCACCATGGAAACGGCCGCTACAGCTCATCCGAATTTTCTCCACTGACCCACAAAAGGCTCTGTCGCTAATAATCTTCGCCGATAAATGACTAGTGCTGCTAGACTTCTAGAAACTGTTAAGGTATGTTTTCATTTGGATACCACTCCATCCAAGAACTTGGCCTTTCTGCCATTATTTTACGTGGTTTTCAACTGAGGCGCTTCAGCAAAATCTGCCTTTCTCTAAAACTCCTCCAAAACTTTTTTTTAAAATCGATATTCTCAACGGAGTCCTATTTAGTCGTCATAATGAGCTCGTTAAAAAGGAGTCAATTCTAATTATGAACGTTTCCCTCATAGATAATTAATGCTCGCAATAGTTTGTAATTGCGATTAATGCCCTAATAAAAGTTATGTATGTCTCTGAAATTCTCCTCCCCTTCTATACAGTGTCTTGGGCTTAGTTTCACTTTTCGGTTCTGAACCCTTGTTCACAATCGGATTGACTATTTTCTTATTCTGTCGGGTGAAGGAGAAATCAAGATGGGAAGCCCGTCCGGTATGTCGGAAACAAAAGGTGCCGATTGAAAACCACAAGAAACAATGGGGTCATGTATTTTTCGAGAAAAAGAACATTTCAACGCGATTAACATAGCCCTTAACAAAACTTTAGTGAAAACTTGATCCCCATGACCACATAAATTAGTAGTGCTATTATGGCGAATCGAGAAGTTGAGCTCCATCTCTACACCTCTTTTTCTTGCAGGGAAGAGGAGAACGAAAAAGTATCGTTGCTGCCTTCTCCGATATTGATATAGAAAATCAATTCGTTAAATGGAAAGCAGAACAGCCACCGCTCGTGTAAGAAAACTTTTGACATTTGCCTTTACTATCTCCTTTCTGAAAGGTGCACATCTGAAAAACACCCCCACCGTTTCCGCTTCCAGGTACGACGTGAGTGTGAATCCAAAAGGCAGTATCTACTGGTATTGGTCATGCGTAGTATCGGTGGCATGCTTCTATAATCTGACTTTCATCACCTTAATTGTTTTCGAAGATATACGAGACGGATTTTATGTACAATGGATTATCGGCAATATAATTTGCGACGTTATTTATATACTGGATATGTGGTTCCAGTCACGGATGTGTAAGTTTGAATGGCAGCTACTTGTACAGCTTCTTTATTTCTCCATTCGGTATCATTGGAAACTACGGGGAAGTCTTTTTGTTGAAATGGCTTTTAANTTTTATGTACAATGGATTATCGGCAATATAATTTGCGACGTTATTTATTTACTGGATATGTGGTTCCAGTCACGGATGTGTAAGTTTGAATAGCAGCTACTTGCACGGCTTGTTTACTTCTCCATTCGGTATCATTGGAAACTACGGGGAAGTCTTTTTGTTGAAATGGCTTTTAAGGCACTGAAGCAGATGATATCCAAAGGGAAAGTAAGACGCTGGCAGACCTTTGATGGTTTCTTACCCGTGTCATGAGCATAACCCTTTTAAACGCTATCTTCGCAATTGCACTCGGACGGGTTTCATGGAGACGGCTTGAAGGTGTTTCAAGCAAGGGAAGAAGTGTCTAGCTGTTGTCCTTTTTGTTGAGCACTAAATGCTTTGAAATCGATACACAAGCCCTTCGAGGCAATTGTGAATTGAAAAGAAAATTCTCACTTCTAACTGAGTCAATCTATGAAGAAGACGAACCGGCAAAAATACGTGGGCTTGGCACTATCATAGGTTCTGTTATATGTTTAAAAAGAAGTCCAATGACTTATCGTTTTGATATTGAGAAGATCAACATTATTTGGTCAATCAGACTGCTAGCACGAGGGCAGCCCAAAAACCTAACTGTTGTCTTTTGTTTCTGTGGTTTTTATCAACCTGGTAGATATACTACTTATTTGCAAATTATTCATCCAATTTAGTAGGAGAAGAAGATTCTCTATATTTCCACGGAAATGAATGGAATCCTGAATGAGGAATGGTTACATATTAGTTTTGGCACGGGACATTACGCTACCAGCTGTCCAGCCTTGATTTCATCAAAAGCATTGCCTCCAGGGATAAAGGATAAAGTCTTGGGGCGTTAACCAATCCTGCTTAGGGATGAGCCCACGCATTCGACTTCCATTCAGAGTCGTAGTGGCGGGGCCTGCGTATGTACGTGGCCTTTACAATGACTTGTGGTGGCCAGCAGATGCACAAGCTTTCATCCTCCCAGACGAGTGTGGTACCGATTAATCGACCTAAGAGGGAAGGAAAGCCTGGTTGAAAACTATTATGCTTGCAGTTTGAAGAAAGAGCGCTCTCAGACCCCTTGTCGCAAAGCCAGCTCCATCAGTCGATAAGGCTTGCCGGTAGATCCAGGAGAACTAGTGGATCGGCGCTACTCAACGGATCCACGATCGCAGTTTCTAGCTGATTGACTAGGAAAGAAGTGCCTGCTATTTTTGGAAGCCTGATGAACAATAATGCCTCATTAACTTCCTATGAAAATCAGGTCAAAACTGCACAGCTAGTCCATATCGTCGACTTTGTACTTTCATAAACATATCAAAGTTGATCTGATAGTGGAACATTTGCAGCATCCTCTAGAGGACTAGCTTTTGCCGTTGCCACCGGTCAGTTAATGGTAATATGTAAGAGGGGGCCATGATTTTCGTGATACTCTTGCGAATCCATTCGACAAGGAACAAATGCTAGCTACAATTTTTTGCCCCAACCATGAGTTCTCCAAACCAATCTATCGCCACAGAAATTGCACCTCAGCTGAGGTGCACTTTTTTCTCAGATCTTACCAGTACCATCTGCAGACATTAGGTTCATTCAGGTTGAGCTTTTGCCAATGAGAGGAGGATAACCGAATACGCGAAATCACTCTGTAACATTCAAGTATCGAGATAGAAGGTTCTTTTGAGGTTGATTCGAAGAGATACCTGCGTTAGATAGAGGCGTGCGCCATACAGACCGCCGGTTTTGAAAAAGATGCTGCTAGTAGCAGCGTCAACCGAATCGAGCAGACGTGGATCTATCTGTCTCGAAACACGTTCACCTCTGACGCATAGTTTGCAACTTTTTCAAGTGGCTCCACCGGTGCCGTAGGTAAGAGTATTTCTGAAGTAGTCAAAGGCAACACTGTGTGCTTGGCGACTACATTGGCGATCTGTAGGTTGCTGGGTGCACAGCCTGTTTTACTTTTCCCTTCATACATAGACGAGGACCACATGACATCATGAAAGTTGTTCTTCCGCTAGTTTCGTTAAGTACGTCTAGACCAAAGTGATAGGGAATTTTTTTGGTCCACTAGAGCTGGATGTTTGAAGAAACGGTAAGGATTCGAAGGGGAAATTGTTGAAGAGTCCAAGTAATTACCTTTTGAAAACAAGGGTATCACTGTTTTCTGTAAAGCAAATCTGATACATAGTCTATGCTGCAAAAGTGGGTAAAGTAAGTACGCATCGAGTAATGATCTTGATAAAATAATGGATATGCAATATACTTCGAGGCAAAACTAGAGGACTCCCTTCCTATCAAGACCCTTCTTGTCGCACATAGCATATAACTAAGGTCATGCAAAGCAAAACGATTGCTCCCCGTGTGGCTCGAACTCACGACCTTCAGATTATGAGACTGACGCGCTGCCGACTGCGCTACGAAAGCATGGGGATGCTCTCATTCCGTGAAGTGAAACTTTTTTATTTGTTTTGCCTTTCGAAAAGAATCAAATGGAAGTAGCATCAGAAATGAGAGGGTTTTCCTTTGTTTTCTTTACAATGGAGAATCGTAATACGTTGCTATAAAGAAAGATGATCTCCTTCACCTCTTTCAATTGGCCCCAGGTGTAAAAACGTGAACATGCCAAACGCGGTGTAAGACCAATGTCACCCCATTCACTCAAAAACCAAGATCCGTATTTCCAGTTCAGGAGGTACAGTGCATGTCTGTCTGTCTTCATACTCTCTCTTGATCCTCTCAATGCACATTCGTGCTTGGGGAGTGGAGGTAATTCTTTTGAATCTCTAAAACTCATTAGACGCCTAGTTATTCCAGTGAAGGAACTCACCTTTAAACCGTAAATATAATGATTCCTGACACAGAATGGAAGGCAGGATCCTTGGTTATGATCTGAGTGCTTTACAACAAAAATTAGAGTGAATTGCTGCCAAGAAGTAACCAATCGGGTCATCAATGCTAGAAAGAAGAAAAAAAAACAAAACTTATCCATATTCTGTCCGTACTCATTTCAATGACTTGGATTTTGGATAGACGAGGACAGTTGGTTTGGGTGCATCTAAAATTGTAGTTTTGCCAGCCTGGAATCAAATAATACGATGAAAATCAAAGCAATAATGGTAATTGAGACCACTGATTACTTTGACTCTATATGAAATCACCTTAAAAAAGTTCTTCCATCTATAAACTGTAGTACATAAATTGAGGGTTCTGTTTATTGAATTGCTGTGGATCTTCCCCAACCTTTCCCTCCTTTCCCTACTTGACTTCCTTTAAGCTTTTCCATGTCTATTTGGCACAATTCTCCTGATATCAGCAGCATTACGGGCTGCTGCCAAAGTACCACAAGTTCGACAGCGGGGTGCAACTGGGTGTCATCCCGGTGTGCATGCTCTACACCCTAGCAATATAATTGCAATCACAATTAAATAATGATTTTTTAAACACGTTTTTTAGTATTCTACGAGCACGGCTGTAAAGTATCGGATATATCTGAAACCCGAAAAAACTACTTTTCAAAGTGAGTGTTAAAAGTTCATCAGGTTTTCTTTAGGCTTTCAATACTTCTCTATTCTTTCAGCATAAACTTCCCATTGGACATCATTTCGGTTCTTCCTACCGACCTCTTCCTTTTTCTCCAGTTCGATGCCTCTGTATTCAGGTAAGATCTTCAATAGGTCAGAGGGATGGTTGACATTGTGAGGACCGTTGAACTTCACCTCATGCAACTAAGACCATTCCGTGACGAAAGAAGGAATAGGTAGTGATCGATATCAATCTTGTCTGAAATGTGGTGCTCGTTTGAGAATTCATTGATTGTAATGAACTCTAGCCTCTATCGCTTATAGAAGTTCAGGTTCCGTGTCTTAGAGAAATCTGTAACTTTGAGATTCTGGGTGTATAATTTATAGTAGGAAGAAGAGTCTCGAAAGCTCAAGTAACTCTTATTTTTTCTCCTGAACTAGCCAATTGGCAATAGCAGACCTGGAGATGTTGGATTACCCGAAAAGAAAAGAGAACGTCACAGTTAGTCACAATCACAATTAATAAAAGTGTAGCATTCACGATCTAGAAGCTTCCAAAACAATCTGCACTCAAAAAGCATAGCCAGCCTTGAAGTGGTCGGTCGGCTATCTACCATTCCATCGTTTGTTCAGTAGTTCAAATTGTACGAGCTACTTACTCATTCAATACGACACTACGATTTAAACTGAAGTGGAATGCGGGGCGCACCCTTCAGGCAGGATTGAACAATACTCAAAAACTTCATCTTTCACTATAATCTCACAAGACAAACTATTACAGATTAAATCGTTTATTGAAATGTTATCGTCTATTCGAGTTATTCGATTTGGCTCAAGGACGGCTCAGACAGGCAAGGGATTTTCGAGAAAGTTCAGAAAATGTAGAGCATTCTGATGGCAGGCCATGAAGAAGCGCATATGTGTATTTGATAGAAAAATAGCCTTTGTTTCAGGTTATCATTTCCTTAATGAAAATCGTAATCAGTTGCACATTGATCTTTCACTGGAACGCATGTGCATTTTACATCATTAGCAAATTTAGTGATACAACATCATGGGATGGTGAGCCATTTGCTTTTTGTAGACGAACTTTTCGGACCTTCTAAAAGTCTTTTTATTTTATGCATTGTACCGATCCAATTCCCACTTTCAAAATTTTCTCGAAAGAGACTACCTTTATATCTACGAACGATGTTTCTACAAATCCTTAATGACGATTACAAAGATGCCCTTACCTTGCGATTCGGTTGGATTCATCTTCCTCGAATATCCTGAAAATGTTTCATTATCCTTGGGAAGACTTTGTTTCTTTGGAGATTTTCGTTTTTTCTTTGGATACATATTCCCTATTGGGTCCTCGAAAATTGTAAACCTTCCGTGACTCCTGAAAGTTTTTTCTTCTTTGCAAGACAGTAGACCCGGAAAACAGGGGTGCGCTTCGTTGCGCGCGTCCGTCGAAAGTAGGTCACGCCGCAGCCGTCGCGTGCGGGAGTCAGTCTCGATACTTGACGGATGTCGCAGTTATCAGAGGGGCATACGATTTGCGCTTGGTCCACGGCAGTCGGCTCGGAGAGAAGA